CACGATGCTGCCTTTCTTTGAAAAAATGAAGTAGAAAAACAAAGTGCCAAAGCTGTGAAGTCAGTCCTGTTTTTCTGGGAAAGTTACCATCACGTTCTATCTGTACAGGGAAATGCACCTTTCACAGTAACAAGTCGCGGGGAGTTCAAAAAGGCTTTCAAGAGACCTAGGCTGTGGGAACTAGAGAAAGTCTACTCCAACAAGCCAGCAATCAGGAAAGGGGCACAAAAAGAGACCTGGGAATATGCCTTACCCAAAATCTGCCATCTTGAAACTTTTACACGGGGCTTCCCTGGGTCCTCCCTCAATTCCTGCCTCTAACAGGCTGGGTAGGGCGCCTCCATATCTGCCCTAGGTCAGGTTCAGCTTTGTCTCCAGTTCTTCTTTGGAAGTTTTGCACTGTGTTTCTTCTTTGGCCCAATTTATTTTACTTGGTCATCCTTACCTCCCCCTCCTGCTTGTGAATTCATTTCAAGTTTCCTGATACAGGGACAGAAAGAGCAAGACATCATCCTGACTTCAAGGAGCGCACAGTCTGGCTGGGAACACGGAGAAAGGGTTACTGTCTGGCAACTGGCGATGGGCATCCGAAAAAAGAATGGAGAAAGTGTAAGGAAGGTATGACTGAGGCTAGGTGGATGACAGCAGTAGAGAAAAGAAGTCTCCTCGGTTGTTTCAAATAAAACCAGAAAATTTCCAAGAGCCTTCAAACAGAGAAAAGAGGGGCAGTGAGACACTTTGTTTTAACTGGGATTTTTAAAAATGACTAATCATGGCATATTTCTGAGTATACAAATTTTAAAGCAACAATCGTGTTTAAATTTGTCTCAACAATCTATGGTAGTTTATTTTTCAGTTACACATTCAGTATTTTGCTCTTATAAGAATGTGAAACGTACCTGTCACCCAAAGGTTTTAACACTCATTTGAATGGTTTCATTTTTTTTTCACTTGAAAGTTATTTTTTCTAGCTAGAAACTGTTAAAAAAAATCATTTTTGAAGGCTGCTTTCTTTAATCCTTTAAATGTATTAACATAAATTACAGAGTGCAATTTACAGCTCAAGTCTCTTTGTAAACATTGTGTTGTACATTTGGAAGGCTTTCTTTTACTGTGTTCTCAGCCTGGAGGGCTTTTCATATGGTGCTGGTGCATTTTAAATAGAAAGAAAAAAATGGTCAAGAAATTAAACTTGGGTGTGGAAGCAAAGGTCATTCACCATTCGGCCAGGGTTTGCAATGCAGCTGACATTTACAGAGGTGCTAATGAGCATGCAAGGCTCCTTCAGATAAGAGTCTGTGTGTCAGCATCCATGATTTATTGCAGGCATTGCCCCAGAGGAAGGAGCCTGGGCTAACCATCATTCTGCACAAATGCTAAATATAATAAGAAAAGTTTTAATCACTGCTACTGACATTGGCTTCCAAAGTTGTACCTGAAAGAATAAAATCTAGCCTGAAAGTCAGAAGAAACAAAGGAGAGCTTAGAACAGAAGGGACAAGAGGGTCCCTCCATGCAGCTCAGCTAGAGTGATTTTCAAAGTTGGAACACCAGCTCAGACCCTAGCAGATATATGACCTTCAGCATGTCCTTTGAACCTCATGATCTGCTAATGGTATTTACCTAGAGCACTGTTAACCAGCTTTCTCTCACTGTGACAAAATATCTAAGGAAACTTAATGGAGGGTAGATTTGCTTTGGCTCATAGTTTCAGAAGGTTCAGTCTATGGTTACATATTTGACCACACTGCTTTGGGCTTGTGGCAAGGCAGAACATCATGGTGGGAGTGTATGGCGGAGGAGGCTGCTCACATCATGGCAGCTGGGAACAAAAGAGAAAAGGAAGAAAGAGCCAGAGTCTCAATGTCCCCTTCAAAGCTATGCCCCAGTGACCTAATTTCCTTCCACCAGGCCCCATATCCTTAAGGTTTTACCACCGCCCAGTTATGCTACAGACTAGTGCAAGCCTTCACACAGGAGCCTTTTGGGGACGTTTGAGATTCACACCCTCATAGTCATGCTGAGAATAAACATGATAAAATATCTGGAGTGAAGTTCTGTATATGTGACTGGTTCCTTTCTTCTTCAACAGCTTGGAGTAGAAGCTACACATAGCATACAGAGTAAGATTCCTCTATTTACTGTGAACCTAATGAAGTAGTATTCACGATAAATGTGTGATTATTTCATGCCTGACATCACAAATCTAGATGAGCACTTAGCTTACAGTTTAGAAAAAATTAGACACATGTTATGATTCCAATTTCATGCCTTATAATAAAGGCAAAGTTATAGATATAGCAAAAAAAATCAGTGGTTTCCAGGAGTTGGCAAAAGGACAGGAAGCGCTGCCTGCCGCGCAAGAGCAAGGACCTGAGTTCGATCCCCAGTACCAAAAAAAAAAAAAAAAAAGGACAGGAAGAATGGACAGATCACAGGATTTCTTGGGCAGCAAAACTATTCTATATGACACAGTGATAGGACATGCATCATTGCACATTTTTCAAAACCCATAGAGTATCCCACAGCAAGAGAGAACCTTAACGTGAGCAGGTGACTTTCCTATATTTTGACTTGTGAATCAAGGACAAATATGAATTTGAAAAATAGATGAGAAAACATCCTGACATTGGAGGATCAGGAATGTAGGGTACAAGCGAAGAGGCTTTGGTGCTTGGTCCATTCACATGGGATACCAGCTTCCAATGCATTCAGGAGAGAGAATCTGAAAACAGAAAAGGGTCCTCTGAAACCCGGGGCATGATCTCCAGCAGGGCCGAGGCCTCCTGCTGCCTGGAAAACAGGAGATACGCTTTCTTCCAATAAGGCTCAGGGAGGTCACAGATGCACTTGGAAACATAGATTAAAACGAGACTGAGTATTTTAGAAACGTGTTGTTATGAAAAGCCTAACTAGAGGAAGTAAATGCTAAAAATAAGCAATTCTGTGAGATCAGAGGTGTTCCTTGAGGAAATTCACTTCAGGTCTTGTGAAGTTCTCGCTGGGAAGCTGCTAGAAACAATCAGGAAGTTGCTGCCTCCCACGTGTTAGGGCCCAAAAGAGGTATTGAAGGGCCCCTGAAGTGAAAGTACCAGATCTCCCTCTCCTCACCTGAGTCCTCTCGACCAACACCATGGGTTGCTGTGGCTGTGGATGTGCAAACCTATGGTTGTCTGCTGCTGCCGCTGCACCTGCCATGGCTCATGTGGCTGCGGCTCCTGTGGCTGTGGCTGTGGGAAGAGCTGCGGCCAGAAGCAGTTCTGCTGCCAGCTGGGCCACCGGCTCTGCTTCTAAGCTGAGCAAAGCTTAGGGTTTTGCTCACACATTGGGTAAGACTTTTCCTCCACCCCGCCTGTCAGCTTCTCTCTGCTCTATCTGCCTAGGGGCCTTGGAACCTCTCTTTCTGGCTCCTGCACTCTGAAGCTGCAGAGTTAGTTCCTTCTCCTCACAGTGGTACCCTGACTATTTCAACTTCTCCCTGAATATCCAGGGCTTAGCATCTGGGAAGTATACATTCTCTGTCATCTTAGTCATCTTGTCTCCATTTAGAAAAAACATAAAAGACCAGCATCTATTATCAGCATTAGGTGTGAAGGTATAGCCGCTCACGTCAAAAATGTATTCATTTTAGCTTTAACAGAAAATCCTGATAGCTAATATTTGATTTTCTTGAAAAAATTACTCGTGATGACATTTTTGTTATTTCATATTGTACGTTTACTAACTTCTTTCTTATTCCCATGTCTGTTTAAAAACAAAAAAGCGATTCTTTCTAAATACGTAAATAAAACGTGTTCTGAAAGATGCGCTCCCCGGCATGGGTGAGGACGAGATGATGAAGGGCATCAAAGACTGGGAGAGGTTCCAGTTAGTGGGTGTTTGGTCCTAGAGTGAGCTAGAATCGATTTTATGAGAAAGATAGAAATTAGCTCCCAGTCCCCAACCTTTGGCTGTCAGTGTCATAAAGGAATTTCCTGTCCTCTCCTCCAGCTGCCCTCGGGATGTGGATCTGCAACAGCCGCTCTAGGGAAGTCACAGCTTCACCCCGGATCCCCACGGATTTCTCTCCCTTGTTCACTCAGCGCTGTGAGTCCTGTATTAGGCCGGCCATTCAGTCAAGACCAGACATGTAAAGATAAACAAGCTTTGCCCTCAAGTTAGCATGAAAGAGGGAAACCAGTCAATTCCAGTTCTGTAATGTCAGACTTTCTTTGCCTGGTCACCCTTCTCCACTGTCAAACCAACTCAATTTACGTACATGAGTGCGGCTCTACTGACACAAGAGAGCCTCGGCTCTTTTGCTAGTGAGCTGATCATGCTTGCCACAGGCTTTTCACTTGGCCTCCCAACAGCTGTTGACACAGCTGGGCCTCTCTCCTCCCTGAGGAATCTTCCTCCCGCACCTCTCCTCCCTCCTTCCTAACACGCCTGCTCACCCTTTGTTCCGCTGTCTTTCCCCTCCCACTTTTCCTACCCAGCCTCCTCTGTAGGTTCCTTCTCAACACGTGGCCCCTAGCCTCAGAACTGAGTCCTCTTCTCCGTCCTCTTACTTATCAGATCTACGTTCTCATGTGATCTTCTGTTTCCTATTTTCCTTTTCCACAGCAGTTCGCACTGAGCACTGGAAAATTCATGAGCTTAATACGTTCACTGTAGGCGGTTCCCTTATCGCTCTTCCTCCCTGTCCAGAACATAAATTCCTCAAGGGAGAGATTTGTAACTGTGTATTCATGTGTCCTAGACACTTAGAACAAAGTCTGGTACAAGGAAAATACAATAAACAACTTCTGGGCTGGGGATTTACAAAGTGGTTGAGCAGTTACCTAGCCTGTGCAAAGCCCTGAGTTTAAGCCCTAGCTCCACAAAAAAAGAAAGAAAACAAATAACTTCTTAATGATGATTTTTCAAACACTTTTTCATCATGGAAAAGGCCAAACATGAACAGAAGTGAAGAATAATGCAATACATATCTAAGAACCATCACCCAAGAGAATACTTACGAACACCTGATCAAAGCTGTGTCATCTACGACCTCATCCACACCCCTTCCACCACGGGGTCATACGGAATCCACTCGGGATCTCATGGCATCTCATCTGTAAACACATGTCAGTTTATGGTCCAGTGAATGGGTGAATTGTTTGTTTCCCTCCTAATTACTCTGGCTATGAGAAATCAGATAGATGGAAGTAAACTCATGATCCCATTTGAAATTATCTCATGGAAAGGCGTGGAGGAAATCATGACCCCTCAACCTTTCAGAAGATGTCACACACCCTGCCTGGGGAGAACCCGGCAATTTACTAGCCAACCTGGTTGCACAATGAGCCAGGCACTCCCACACCCGGGGTGGAGCTCCAAAATTTACAAGCGGACTTCACAAAACGTGCGAGGAAAATCCAAACACAGGGACCCCAGACTCCTGAAGAATTTTCAATCAATTTGACTTCTAGTAGCCCTTTAATTCAAGCAGTGATTATCTTTAGGGGGAGTTGGGGGGTTTTTTCTTAACTTCCGTCAACGAATAAGCAAAAAGATAATTTTTAAATTTTTCCACTTTAGCCAAGAAATCTATAATGATTAGAAAGCAAAAATCAAACAGAACAAAAAACCTTTGAAGGGTGAGAGGATAACTCAATGGGAGGAGCTGACCTGCCATGTGGGAGGGCTTGGATCCCCCAGAGCAGCAGGCAAATGATCACAAACCCTAGCTCTGGAGCCAGACGTGCCAACATTCCCTTCTTCCTCGATTTCTTATATGTAAAATAAAAATAAGGGTTCACAAAGAAATAAAAGGATTAGTAGGTAAGGAGTTACTTACAAACGCACCAAATGATCGACGCTGCAATCAGTTCATCTTGTTTTATTACCGTTGTATTAGGGGGTCGGTATACTACTTTAAGTGGCTCCTTTGAGCTAGAATGAACTGTTAGGGACACACCGGCCTCGCAGACCTCTGATTTTCGCCTCTGCCTCCTAGGGCCCAGAGCCTTAATGAGCATATGCAAAGCAGGGGGGTGGCCTCCGGTTCAGCGGGAACGCCCCACTGCCGGCCTCGCCCCACCTGAGACTCCCGCGGGCGGCCGAGGAAGCTCGGTTGTTGGGCCAGGGAGCAGCACCCCCTTCTCTAGGTAAGGACTTCTGCCCTCTCTCCCCCAGCCAAGAGCCAGGTGAGGCCTCGGCTTGCAGGACGCACCCGGCGGCGGGAGCAGGTCCCACCTGGCTTCCCAGTTTTTGCCAGCCTCTGCGCTGGGACCGGCCCAGCCAGGTTTGGCTAGAATTCTCCCGAGCAGCCATCTGGAAAAGCAGATTGAATAAAATAACGACTCTGACCAAGTGCCAGCTCCCAGGAGTACACTCATGTTTATGAGTTTTAGCTGAAAAGAAATTCAGCACGCAAGTCCAGACTTGGGCCCAGAGATGGTACAAAGGTCTCTCCTAATGAGGAAAAGGAAGGTGTATTTGGAACTAAGAGAACAGACTGACTTTTAAACATTTTTTTATCTGTTAAATTCTCTGGTGAGAACTACTTGAATTGAAATTAAAAGTACAACCAGCCCTTACAATAATCCTGCTGGAAAGGACACCCAATAACATGTGCAGCATCCATTCCTCAGCTCTGTGTGGCTGCTGCCAAATGTGCAAAGGTTTGGGCTTTTGGATTGTTGCTGGTTTGAAAAGGGTGAAGGAAATAATGGATTCTAAAGCGATTCTTACTGGATCAGGGCATAGTGCTTGCCTTGTATGCACAAAGTCCTGGGTAGCATCCCCAGCACTGCAAAAAATTAATTAATTTATTTATTTATTTAATTAAGTTTTTCTCATATAGGAGTTTTGCTCCTACCAATGTCAGAATACATTGCTGCCTCCTAAGGCAAAAGGGACTTTTCATTAAGTCATACATTTTAAATAGACTAAAACATAACTAATTTTCCAAATGCGTTTTTCTTCACCACTGCCATAATAACTAAAATGGACAAAAATAACAATTTTTTTCCTCATTTTTGCTAACAGAACAATTTCTGTAATGGGAAAAAAATGCAATTCAAGACTACCAAAGGACAAAACTACAGCAATTGAGTTTCATAATTTTAATTGGCTTTCTTTTCTATTCTAAAACTGGGCAACACATCATTCCCTAGAGTATTTCAATGGACTAAACTGAAGAGGCTGGTTCTATAGATAAAAAGTGAAGACAGCACAAACAAAAATCAAAGAACTGATTGGTTATTTTAAAGTTACTTTCATGAGGCAGGGACAGAGACAAAATAGGAAAATAAGTGATTAGTTAGTGCCAGATGACTTCAGGTTACTTTTGCTGGGAGGTATTGAAGCAAACTTTTCCCACTCCCACTCCATGCCTTTGAGCAGATACCTCCCTGGCTAGGTTTGAGAAGTTACAATTCATTCATCAGAAATACCAGAAGTAAAGGAATGGTACTATATGTGATTACGCAGAACACACAGTATGTATTTTCAAGACCATTGGCTTTTTTTTTTCCTTTGGTACCAGAGATCGAACTCGGGACCTTGCGCTTGCGAGGCAGGCAATGGAACCACTGAGCTAAATCCCCAGCCCACCATTGGCTTTTGACAAGAAGCAGAACTATTCTGGCCTGTTGGTTGAGAACCTGGGCCTAGTTCAAGGCTCTTGAAGTTGTGTGGGGTGCCTCATTTCAGCAGGATTTGGGGGGGAAAGAAAGGGGTTTGATATAAGCATTATCAGTGAGTGAGAGGCTCGTTTGTAGCTTTCTGAGAATCTAGTGATTTAGAGAAACGAAACTGCGAAAATTTAGTGACAACAGTCAGAGAAAAGTGGGGTTTTTAAACTGTATACTTCCCTTACCATTTGTGCTTCAGAAAGATAGGAACCCGGCTGTTAGGTTTTGTTAATGGTATTTCTGGAGAGGACAGCTCCCTTCAGGCGTGGTCTTCCGGGCATAAAGCCAATGGTTGCTCAGGCTGGACAGTTCTGAGGAAAGACTCTGAGGAAAGCTCCTTGTGGCAGGCAGGGATCTGCATTTGTGGGCAGCCAGAAGGAGCAGAAGTTGGATGTGAAGGCAGGAAGCCAGCCGTGATTCCAGAAAGAGATAAACTCGGGCCACAGCAAGAACAGGTGATTCTGATCCTATCTGACTTCATTTAAAGAATGCTCTCTGTGGCCTGATCTGTTTGCCTGTCCTGGAGTTTTAGTTTATGGGCACTGTTTCCATTCTAAACTTTCGGGAACAGACTCAAATTCAAAGATCCTGCTCGCTTTTCTGGTTTTCTTTTTCTGTAGAGGACTTTTCCTGGGGTGAGTCTTGGAATAGCCTTAGTCTGTGCAGAAGGAGAAAAAAGCCAAGGGCTGCAGAGTTGTACACAGAAAAATGCTTTGGAAGAGGGAGAGTAGTGTGTATTACCTTCGATTGGGGTACAGTTTACACGCAATGTAGAGTACAGATTTCAGGTTTGAATGTTTGTGATTATATACACCCATGCAACTATGTCCCTTCCAGACATGGGATATTTAACTAACAACCAACCCAGTAAATTCCCTCTGGTAGTCAGTCTCCTTCATCCCCATTCCCCCCTGAAAAGTGGCATAATTCTGACTTTGTTTGTTTGTTTTGTTTTGAGACAGGCTCTCACTTCCTAGTTTAGGCCAGCCTTGAAATCACGGCCATCCTCCTGCCTCAGCCTCCTGAGCACTGGGATGACAGGTGTGTACGACCATGCCCTGCTAATTCTGTTTTCTATCAGCTTCGAGTACTGTAGTTTTGCCTGCTGTGGGACTTGGTACAAATGGAGTCATAAAGTATGCCCTTTTGTGTCTGGATGCTTTTAGGATGCATAGTGTTAGAGATTCATTTATTTTGTTCCACGTACCAAATCACCTTTGTTGAGATACGGTTTTCATATAATGAAGTATACATTATCAGCGTGCAGTGCATAAGTTTGGACAAATGTTTGTAGCCACCACCACTATCAAGTTGTAGAGCATTTTTATCACTCCAGAAAGTTGTCACACTCTTGTAGTCAGTCCCTTCCCATGGAGCCACTTTTTTTTTTTTTTTTTGAAATAGGGTCTCACTGTGTAGTTCAGACTGGCCTTAAACTCACTATGTAGCCCATGCTGGTCTTGAACTTCAGTGATCCTCCTGCCTCAGCCTCCTGAGTGCTGGGACTACAGGCGTGTGCCACTATGCCCGGCTAACATAGGAAGATTTTAATGTGCACAATTACAGTGAAGAATAGTCCGTGCAGTGACTGTAAGTTAAGGCTAACTGAAGAAAATTCAGTAGGGGGATCAGGAAATAGGTCCTCGCTTTCCCTTGTAACTCATTCCAGATAGGATCCTGGCAATGAAGTTTTGGGTTGTTCGGTTTTGTTTTGTTTTGTTTTGTTTTGTTTTGTTTTGTTTTTGGTACCGGGGATCAAACTCAGGACCTTGCGCTTGCAAGGCAGGCGGCAGAACCACCGAGCTAAATATTTTTAAAAGAGAGAACTCTCTTTTCCATTACTACAGAATTAAGATGACAAATGAACTTATCCTGCCACCAATATAAGAATTGGGAGTTTAAAATATGGTCCTACTTCCTGCTGTACAGGAAGGAACAATTTAAAGAAGTGGTTGAATGTGGAAAAAAGCAGTAATGTGGTAATAATTGGAATAAAAGAGAAGGCAATAAATTGAATTCTGATGCTCAGAAACAACAAACACATAAGAGGTGGCATAAAAAGCAATTTTCCTGAAGTAGATGAGAAGAGTGAAAAGCCACTCCAGCCAAACTTGACCACAGTGGAAACACAAAACACAAATCCTACATTTGATGGGAGATCAAGAAAACATGATGAGCACCTTAAAGTGAAGTGGGGTCACCTATACTAACAAGGGAATTATCATTTTTCAAAAAGCTGCAGCATCTCACAGAACCTGAAGGGGAAGCAGCAATAAAATATGTGGCTTTCTGTGGCTATGTGGAAATGGGGCCCAAATAGAGAGGGGGAAAAAACATCTTTTGGGGGGGAGAGGTGGAGTGCTGAAGGGTCCTTGGGGAAGGGCAGCTGCAGCTTTGTTTTCATAAGATGAGAAATAATTATTATTCCCCTACCAGCAGAAGGAAACAAGGGCATCTCCAAGGTAATGTGGGTGGTCACCTCCAAAGCAAAGGTGTCAGTGGTCTTCGGGACTCATTCGGGTCACACCTGCCAGCTGGGTCAGCCTTTCTGATGTGTAATGCCAAAGTCCTGTGGCTGCTGTCCCCAGAGTCCTTGGGTGTGCTGCAGCTGAGTCAGGAAGTGCTCTTTGGTTGTCTGTGACCTGCCACATCCACTAAGGCTCCAGCCAGAGCTGAGGAAGAGCTCAAGGTTCACCTCCTCCATCTGCAGTTGCCAGCCTGAGGTCTCCCTCTGTCACGTGTCTCCTAAACACACGTTCCAGCCCACCAAGGTGAGCCCTTCCCCAAGTGTGTGCTACAAGGAGCAGCTGATGAATTCAGCCTCTCTTATTACTTCTGCTTCCAGAGTCTTTGCTAACATGACATTCGCCGAGCATTTCATCATGATAGCCTGATAGAGTGGCTTTTGTTCAGGGAATGTCTTTTTTTCCTTAACCTACTGCCTAGACAGTGTTCTTATACATTTTTTTGTAAACTGATGATGGAGCAGATGAATAACGCATGGGTTAACTGCTCTGGAGCAACTCTTGAAAGGATTATCTGCTTAGGAAAGCACAGAAATGAGGGAGAAGGTAAATCTTGCTTTTAGAAGTGACAGCTCAGATAATGTACCCAATTCATGTCCTAAGGTTAGAGACCATGGAACAAAACAAAATTCAGAGTGCTTTTAGAAGAGAGTTAACATTATGGGGTCAAAATGGAATGAGAAATAGAAAAATGGCAAAAGAACAGTCTGTCTCAAACTAGTGCTCATCACTAGTCTGTGATCCTCCCTCCTAGACCACACAGATAGTCTAAGATGACATTCCTTGGTGTGGCTATGAAGGACACGTGTACATATTTCCTTCTGCTCTTTCCTCTCCAGCTCCTAATTTGGCCTTATTGTGCAATGCCCTCTGATATGTAATATTTTTGCAACATTTTTGAAAAACACTGTTTGCAAACCCACTAAATTTTTTTACTTCATGGTCTTAAAAACACTACTCTTAAATAACCTAGAATTGGAATTTTGAGGATATAGCTAGGCTCTCTTAACACAGAGTAAGAGAAAAGGGTACCGAAGTTGGAATTAGAAAAGCTGAGTCAAGTCAAAGCTCTGATGTGAAAACCAGCACAGATCTATTCCCCTGGCCTTCCATTTTCCTCCTATAAAGTGAGGATCTTTATCTACCTGCCAGAATGGTCAAAAATTAGCTTCCAAATATAGAATTATAAAAAGATATTGCATAAGTAATTCTGTTATTATAGTGATAGTTATGAAGACCAAAAACAGCAGCATCTCTTTGATGAGAAAATAGATGATGATCAATACTCAATGACTTCTATGCAACAGTGAGACCTTTAGCTGTGAGCAGAAGTGATTACCAGCTTTGTGAGAATGCAGGTTGCTTTCCTGTTTTGCAGATGAGCAACTGAACTTAAAGGCACTCTTCTAGCTGGAGACCTTCCTAGCTTTTCACTGTTGCCACTGGCAAGTGAAGTACCCAAAGGGAGAACCACACAGAACTTGTCATCTCCGTGTGAGGCTTGACTTTCAAACCTTTTGTAATACTGCCTTCCCTAATTCCTGTACTCTGGCCTGTTCCTAATAGCTGTCCCTCTTCATCCCCACCTGTGTCCAATTAGGCTATCATTTGTTTATTCAATTGCCAGGGGCTGATCAGACCCTCAGATACCTGTAGGGGGGATGATGGGGAATAGAAGAAAACAAAAGCAAAATTCAAGGTATAAGCAGACCAGATGGAATCTGTCTCTAGTGGACAAGCTGCAGTAGCGGAGTTGCCGGAGTTGACCCACTTTTATTAGCCAGCAAGAAGCACAGGAGTAGGGATGGTGTACTTTTCCTGGAACAGCAATTGCAGTAAGAATGGGGCTCTAAAAGGGAGGAACAAGTTTAAGTTTCACAAAAGGAACAAGTGAATGGGGATTAGGTCCTTCTCTGTACCTGGACTCCTGTGTTGTTTTTTTGTTTGTTTTGTTTTTGCATTGTCCTCAGCAGATGCTATCTTGCCTTAAGAGCACATGATTAGGAGCTTTCCCCACACAGCCAGCAAACATGCAGCCTTCTACATACTTCCCTATTCCTAAAGCAGGGCACATCGGCCTCGAGACTGCGGGACCTAAGTCACATAGCCTGGTCCCCAGCATTTTCCTCACAAAGTTTGGTCCCCAACATTCAATCTCTTGGCAACTTACTTGAAGGCTCACTACATGTCAGACACTGTACTAATTTCCCATAAGATAGAGCAGTGAGCCAGACAGCATGCCCTGGCCCTTTGGGGCTTCCACTACACTTTAGGGGAGTATATTAGATTTGTCTGCTTGACTTTCCCAACTAAATCTAGTCAGGCAGCTATATTAAAACTGTAAAGAGATGAGAGATGGACCATCCAGAGGGCATAGTGCTAGGTCTCTGAGATGCTTAGAGAAAATGACTTGGAGTTAGTGTCCAACTCCATGGTCGGCATAAATGAACAGAATGTTGCAGATGTAGAGTCAGCAGATGCTACCCATCAAGGCTACCTTTCCAAAGAGGGCCGAATCGCTTCTTGGCCTTTTGGCTAAGATCAAGTGCAAAAGAGGGCTGAGTCTCAGTAATTGGGTACTCAGGAAACTCTTTCTATAAGACCATGAATAACAAAGAAAGAAGGTCCCAGCAAACCCAGAAGTATCCCATGAAGGTGAGAAAACTTATATTTGCCAGGCTGGGGGAGTAAGTGGAGGATGCTGAGCCGCAATTTTTCCTTGGCAGAATTTTCACATTGTCAGGATGGCTCACTCACTGTTGTTGGAAACCTGGTTAGGAAATTAGGCTGCCGTCTGGAGCCACCTGTGAAAGGGCAAGATGGGTGACAAGCCATGGTGCAACTCTGGGTTCCTCTGTCTGGATACCTGGCATTCTACCAGGTGACTTACACTTCTGGGATGAATGTGCCCTCTTGCGCATCTCTGGCCCACTTTCAGACTGCCACTGCCTTTGGAAGCTCTATATATTAAACCATCATCTCTAGTGTGGTCCCATTTTTAAAAATACTTTCTTTCCTCATTATGGATTAATGCAAAGCAGGGAGGGCCATCAGAAAGAGGCCAAGGGGAGGGATGAGAGGATCCTGATGGCAGTGCAGGGATATTGCTCAAATCTTAACCGTGTTATTAGAGTCCACTTGTCGGCCATCTTGGATCTTCCAGACACTCACCTTGGAATCTGGAGAAATAATGTATTTTCTAGTTATTATGAAGCTTTAATGAGATAATATGCAGAAAAGTATTCACAACACATTAATTTCCTTCCCATAAATTATCTCAGATGTTAACTACAGTCAAGACCAGCAAAACTATGTAAAGTTTACAACAATGTAAAGTTGGATCTCCAATATGGAGGAATAAGAATGAATTTTCCTGTTCACACTGCAGTTCACATACAAACGCAAGATGTTTTCAAGTATAACCACCATAAAATAAAGTTGGGTTTTGATTGTTTTCTGTGCAGTGACAAGGGAGATCCTCTTGGGCTTTGTGTCTGAAGCTTGAATGTGAAGCAATTTCTATGTTGGGAAAAAGTGTGAAGTCTTAATTAGCTACTGGCCCCATTGGAGGGGTTTCCAGACAGCAGCCTAACTTCCCAGCCAGGTTTCCAACAACGGTGAGCTATCCTGACAATATGAAAATTCTGCCAAGGTCAAATTGGGGCTCACCATCTTCCCCTTATTCTCCCAGCCAAGCTGCAGGATTACAGAGGGGCCCAGTTATAAAGACAAGAGGAAGAATAGTCTATGAAGTGATACCTTCCATTCCCAACCAGTGGGAAAGAGGAAAGTCAGGAAAAGATGACAAGTCAGATCTTTATCCAGCTTAATTTTTTTAACTGAAGAATTATGAATTCTTAGGAGATTGGAGACACCTAGCAAATACCTCAGATGTCTACTATGTGTCCAGCAAAATGTTAGGCAAAGGACAGTCTGATGAGGAGGTGAATGTGTAAATAAACGAATGTTACATATGAGTTTCAGAATTGGTGTAAACTGGAGTGGGCAGATAGTAAAAGGTTTGATTTAATTTAATCTGTATTCACTTGGTAGTACTTATCTACCACATGCACACCAATGGTGCACTAGCTAATGTTTTACTTGAGTTTAAGCATGCTTTGGCTCATTATTGATCATGAATTATTAGCTACACACAGCCACACTTGTGATGAAGAACACTAAAGAAATATGACTGACTTTTCCTCCAACAATGATGAAAAAGAAGTCCATTAACCTGAGGAGTACTTGAGAGCAGTTTTGCATCACTTGCTCTTCTGTTTCAACTGCAAATGAATGAAACTTTATCTTTTCTTAAAACATTTGCAGGGGCTGAGATTATGGCTTAGTGGTAGATCACCAGGCTAGAGCACTCAAGGGCCTGGATTCCCCAGAATCTGAAAAAAATAGCAATAATTAGTTTTTCATTACATCTAAGATACCACAGACAGTAAACATCATTTAATTTTTGCTTTATTTTCATTTGATTAGCTATGGATTGTTTTAGAACTTCAGCGAGCAATTCCTGGATTTTTCCCACTGTGATCCTCTGCTCATTTGGATTTTTCTCCATGATGAGACCATCAGAACCATTCCTTATCCCATATTTATCTGGACCAGATAAAAACCTGACCAGCACAGAGGTAAGTTAATATACATCCATAAATTAATGTGGTTTAATTTTACAGCACCTGAACAAGGATATAGGGTTTCATTTGACTGTAATGAGTCCAATCTTCATAGTATTTGTCTCATAATAGAATTACTTTTTCCTCCCTTACCCTTGCAAAAATGGGCAACTATATATATATATATATATATATATATATACAATAAATACTTTAACTTTTATAGAATCCTAACATTACTCCTAATGCATGGGAACCTTTCAGGTCTCCATTACTTCTATAATACTTAGCCTGAAATAAAATTGATGCCAGCCATAGAATCTAATCTAGTAAATTGGTGAACTGTTGAGGTATAAACAGCATCTAATAAAGTATTTAATACAGTTATGCATTACATAGTGATGATGCTACAGTTAGTGATGGACCACATGTGTGACAATGGTGGTTCCGTGAGATTATAAGGGAGGTGAGAAATTCCTATCACTTAATGACATCATAGCCAACTTAAATCATAGCACAGTGCATTATGTACACAGTTGTGTTGATGCCAGTATAAACAAATCTGCACTGCCACTGATATAAAAATATAACATATACCATTGTGTACAGTATAATTAGTAATGATAACAAAGGAATGTTATTGGTTTATGTACTCAGTGTTCAGTACTTTTTACCATTGTTGTAGAGTGTACTCTTCCTACTTCTTATTTTTTTCAGAGTGCCTCCTGATCTTTTTTTTTTTTTTTTTGGTACTGGGATAGAACTCGGAACCTTACGCTTGCGAGGCAGGCAATGGCACCACTGAGCTAAATCCCTGGCCCCCCTAATTATTTTTTTAAAGTTTACTGTGAGACATTATGCACTATACAATAGCAAACTCATGCATCTTGTGTTTTCATTAATCTTATCTTTACCATATCTCTTGAGAACATTATTTTCTCTTCTGCTTTATTTAACCTTGTGTTGTTTTGTTCTCCATAGTCCTAGGAACAACGTCCTTATATGTGATCAATACCATAGGTGTAGAGTAAGCTGTACCATCCAGTGTGCGCAAGTACACTCTCAGGTTTGATAATGAAGAAAGTGGCCCAGTCACCTATTTGCCCCATTACTAAGTGGTGTGTGACTGCATTTCTTTAGGGGTCTTACTCAGTTTTGCTGTTTAGCAGCAGATGTGAAATGAACAGCTTTCCTTCTCAGCTCTGCCTCCTTCTCTGGAAGGTCTATCATTTAACAATGGAAACTCTTTACTTGATGTTAGTGCTCTTTGAACAAAAGGGAAATGGTGGTTTCTAGGATCTTGGGAAACCCGTAAGTGTCTGAGAAGTTTTTAGTAAAACTTAATTTATTCAAATGTACATACTACTTGAATTTGAAATGTAATTCAGACTGCACATTGTTCCAATATGTCCTCCTACTGGGATGCAACCAAGTAGATACATTGGTTAAGGTTTCTTTTCTTTTTTCTTCCTGGGGGGTGGGGTGTTTGTTTTTGTTTTGGGGTTTCTTTTTTCCATTTAGAAAGGGGACTCTTCTTAATGATTTCCTTGAAAATCAGTTTTCTCTCATATTTTCCATTATTTGGGAAATAATCTGATAAGATACAGAAATTGTGCTGCAAGCCACATGTCCCTTCGTGGCATGCTGGTGCTTCCAGGTCACACTGTGTCAACTTCACAGATCACAAATGAGATCCTTCCGGTGTGGACATACTCCTACCTGGCGCTGCTGCTCCCAGTGTTTGTCCTCACTGACTACGTCTGCTACAAGCCAGTCATCATCCTACAAGGCATCAGCTTCATCGTGACCTGGCTGCTGCTCCTGTTTGGCCAAGGAGTAGGAGCCATGCAGGCTGTCGAGTTCGTCTTTGGGATGGTCTCAGCCACCGAGGTGGCCTACTACGCCTACATATACAGCGTGGTCAGCCCTGAGCACTACCAGAGGGTGAGCAGCTACTGTCGGAGCGTCACGCTGGTGGCCTACACTGTGGCTTCGGTGCTGGCCCAACTCCTGGTATCCTTGGCAAACCTGTCATACTTTTACCTGCACGTCATGTCCTTGATCTCTGTCTCTGTGGCTTTCACTCTCTCACTTTTTCTACCAATGCCTAAAAAGAGCATGTTCTTCCATGCAAAACCCAGCAAAGAAGTTCTTCCAAAGCCACTGGGAATGGATGCTGCCCTTGGGGAGGCTCAGGAGGATCATGAAACAGTTCAGCAGAAATCACACAGCATTTCCGGGAATCCTGAGCGCAGCCAGCTAGGGAGCCAGAAGACTGAAAATGTGGTTTTGAAGAATTTTGTGCAGTGGTTCCAAGATCTGAAGGAGTGCTACTCCTCAAAGCGTCTTTTTTACTGGTCCCTGTGGTGGGCTTTTTCCACAGCAGGTTTTAATCAAGTTTTGAATTATATTCAAATCCTATGGGATCACAAGGCACCATCCCAAGATTCTTCCATCTATAATGGGGCAGTGGAAGCTATCGCAACATTTGGAGGTAAATTACCATCTCTTTATTTTGCTTTGACAAACTTCCCTCTTGAGGTACTACTAATCATTTCCCCAGGTACTAAACTCCATGGTGGTAAATTAGCTCTGTTCAGAGGAATAATAATATTTTTCAAGAACGGAAGGCACTCAAAAAATAAGCAGTGCCATGATATTAATGTGTCATAGTTACAAGGAAGTCAGGGGCTCAGCGCTTAGAACCAATGAAATTCTAGTGGAGTCTTCCAGATTCCGTTGCATCATTAGCACAAGTTCTGACGGTATGCTCTATTCTTTCAGGATTGTTCTTAATATTGTAAGGAAAAAAATGTATAAGTAAGGAATGATTAGTTATTTTAAGAAAGACATAAGACTTCTAAAATCTCACTGGGAGAGTCTTGTTAATGATCTAGCTAAGACTCACCTTGAATTTTCAAAATAGCTTTTTCGTGAGATCCCACAAGGGGTGGAAGAGATTTAGGAGTCAGTGTTCTGATATCAGAGGGAAAGCTGCCTTTTAAGTTCACCAGATAATAAATATTTATATCCTAGAGAAAGGCAACTTAAATGTCAAGTGAGACTTTGAAGATATTTTTCAGGAAGTGGATCTTGTTTTCCACACCCCTATATACAAAATGTTTCAGAAAACCCGTGTGACCTCTGTTTTATTATTGTCTCCCTTTCGGGCTGCTTCCAATTAACTTGTGAAAACCGGGACTGGCTGGGGATTTAGCTCAGTGGTTCTGCCGTTTGCCTTGCAAGCCCAAGGTCCCACGTTCGATCCCCCGTACCAAAAAAAGAAAAAAGAAAGAAAACCAGGACTGTACCAGAATTCGTTCCTTGAAACAACTGCTCCTATATTCCAAATTCTCAGGGAGAAATAGGACTTTGCGGATGTGGCTCTTTCTTTCCAAGATCACATGTGGAAAAGTGAATTAGCCACTGGGCAGCCTTTTGAAACCTGAATATCTTTCATTTTGTTAGAGAGTCATAATAATAATACTTTTTAATTTCTGTTAATTATTCAACTTCTTGTACTCCATGAATCAGTACAGATCTTTCCACTCAAAGCCTCCGGGAAATTAGGTCTATATATTGCAGGTATTAAGGTGGAGATTAAAGTACCATTAAGATTAGGAGGAGGTAGGAGCACAGTGCTTACTCAGCATGTGCAGGGCCGTGGTTTGATCTCCAACACTGAAAAAAAGAAGATTATTAAAGATTAATAAAGACTAAAACTGACTTCACAGTGCAACAGATCTGGTACCCATTACTTAAAAAATGCCAAGAAAAAATAATAGCGCTGGCGATCTATCTCAGTGCTAGAGTGCTTCCTTAGTGCGTGTGCTTGTATTAAACAGCTGGTTTACAGCAGCATTTCTGCCAGTTCTGCTGTGAGGAGCGAACTTTCTGCTCCCTACACAGAGCACAGTGACTGGTGTATAGTTGATATTAGTTAAAATGAGATGATTAAGTAAACAAAAACAGGAACTGAAAAGAGAAGAAAAATCTTCATTGAGATGGATCACACCGTTGTTGTGAAAACAGTACATTCATCTTTTATGAGTACTCAAGACCTGGGTTTTTTCAGAGTGTGATGACATTTGCTCTGTGCAGAGTCAGAATGTTTGATTTCATTTCCAGGGGCTCTGGCTGCTTTTGCAGTGGGCCACGTGAAAGTCGCCTGGGACCTTCTGGGAGAGCTGGCGCTGGCGATCTTTTCCATCATCAGTGCTGGCTCCCTGTTTCTCATGCATTACACGCCCAGCATCTGGGTGAGCTACACTGGCTATCTGATATTCAAGTCCAGCTACATGCTTCTTATAACCGTAGCAGTGTAAGTATTGCCAGCCATGTCTTGCTGCTCTTTTCTGCAACTTCAGTTTAATCAATTGCAATATTAAATGTCAACTATTTCATACTAAATTAAACTCAACCAAGCCATCTTTTCATTTAACTGTTCTCTGAATATTGCTCAAATTAGTCATCAAGAAAAAAAAAAGCTTTGATACATTATAAACCAAAAACAATGATATAGTGTCTGGTTTTATTTTCTTTAAATTTCCAACAGCTTTCTATGATAAACCAGAAGCAATAATATATTGAAAGGTTTTGATTTTTTAATTTCCAACAATTTTCCATAACAAAGTGTGATGCGATTCAATTTTTAATGCTTAGCTTTAGATTTCATCCTTAAGTTCATTAACTGCTTGAGTAATTCTAAGCATATACTATTCTGTGAACAAATATTCTTAAGAAATTTATAAAATGTTGGATGCTGAAAAAAAGTGGATGTAAAGAATGTAAGAACCCTTTAGCTGCATCAGTACATACAGCCAATTGGTTTTCAATCATTCTTTTAAAGAACATGTTTGGGATTTAGAATTTAGTCAAATTTTTGCATCTACTTTTTAAGAAAATGATCAAAAAAACATTTGGTTTACATAGAAGGAGTTAAAGTTGAGTACAGGAAATGTGCTTTGATATTCACAAAAGAGATGAGAAACACTTGAATTTCAAGTTGTATGTAATAAGTGGAGATGAGCTTTGTCAAGTTTTGTCTGTTTTTAATTTGTAAAAAATGAATGACAAACAACTGACAAAACAAAAATATGAGCACCAGGAAAAAGGCCATTAGACAAAAGAAAAAGATTAAAAGAGTTGGCATTTTAGTTTTTTTCATTGAAATGTCTCTGTTTAGTGAATCAAGTCCATGGGTTTTTAGTGTCTTCTTTTAAAATGAGAATTGAAAGGTAGTTTTGCATTGCTTTTGAATTGAAAAGGTATTTAGAACACGAAAGCCTTTTACCTCCATTCAAAGAATGTAGTAAGATTTCAAAATCTACAAAATTAAAAATTCATTAAAGTCATTCAATTTTACAACTACTTATAGTCTGGATCTTTCAAAGAGTAATTCACCTACTAAACTTTGTTGATGGAAGTAATTGACAGTAAACTGAATAACAATAAGAAAAGCATTCCTCTGATTTGGTAACCATATCTAAAATCAAATAATTTGCAGTATTACAAGCAACTGACAACCTGAATAACACTAAAAAAACTTCTACAGACTGAGTAACTATATCTAAAATCAAATTAACACCCACTTTCTCAAGTTATGAGAATTTAGAACACTTAGCTTAAGTTCTGGAAAGTATTAAAATTTATATGAGTAATTTTGTCATTTTAGCTATAATTCAACCTTTAACAGTATTTAGTTCCTTTCTTTCTTCTGCCTGTGTGTTTACAGTGGAGAAAATTTAAACAAGTACCACTAACAACACTATTTTCTCTTTAGTTTCTACCTTTAAAGATAAGAATCTTGTGTATGCTATGGTTAAAATGTTTATTGAACATTTAATGGTAGATTTCAGATTGCAATAAATCTGAGTGTGGAACGCTATGCCCTGGTCTTTGGAATAAACACCTTTACTGCCTTGGTGATTCAGACCATCATGACTATGATTGTAGTAGATCCCAGGGGGCTCAACTTGGCAATCAGCATTCAGGTGAGCTGCAATACTCCTGCTTTGGTTAGTTGCTGGGAATGTAGCCTAACTAGATTACCTCCAAGATTTCTTAGCCTTACAGTTAGCAATACTTAATTTTCTTGAGTTCCATAGTTACGCAAATTTTAAAACATGCAGTTCCTTAATTCTGTGATAATGCCAAGTAGGTTTTAAGCAATAATTGCAACTCGTTCAACACTTACCTGATTAAGCCAGGTAAAAAGTAACCTCAGTACCTAAAATTCAACCACTCCATATAGCATTCTACCAGGCTCAAACATAGAGTAATGGGATTTAGTGTCTTTCTCATTATTGATGATAGGAGCTAGGATTTGAACCTAAGTAGACTGCCCCAAAGTCAGACTCTTAGTCAAAGCATTGCTTACATTTTCATACTTGATTCCGTTTAGATGGTGGAGAGTGTTGTTAACCCATAGTTAAGATCCTGAGTCTTAATTACCCCATAATCCAAGCATACTAACAACATCATTACATATCATCAATGAATAGGTGGTCAGATTTTGTATGTGGCTAATTATTTGCTTTTATCCAGTTTTTAGTTTACGGGAGTTATTTTGCTGTCATTGCTGGAATTTTCCTAATGAGAAGCATATACATTCTCTACTCGCTCAAATGCCAAAAGAAAGTTCAGAGACTCCCTACAATTCAGAGTCCAGCTAAATCACACGCAGAGGAGCCCGTTAATACCATCCTGTCAACAAAGCTCTAACCTTATTACATCAACACAGTGGTTTCCAAAATCTGTGACTAAGAGGACAGGACTTTGAAATGGAAACATTGAAGTGTTCTGCAAGCTGGATTCCAGTGAACCTTCCTAAAAGCACAGCAGACCTTGGCCTTAGACCAGATGTCTGTGTGCCTAGCTGAACTGCAGTTGGCAGGCCCATCAGTTAAAGAACCTACATTGGGAACCCACACCCATAGAAAACTCTAGTTCTGATCACTTCTAAGAACGTGCAAATGGCACAGAAACAAACCAGGAGAAAACACCAGCCACCCTGGTGGACTGCTGCCCACTAATGAATGGAAATCCTAACTGGTCTGACCCTCTGTTTGGCCTAGATGCTTCTGTGATTAAAGGAGGCAACACAAGGGACGTTTATGCCATTTTTCTTCCCTTCCAGCGAGTATGTTTCTGTTTTAACTTACAGTTCTCTGAGAGAATCACAAACTTTGATTCCATTTTTAAGGGCTCTTTCTCAACCTTGTAAACATTGCATTATTCACCAGCTATGGTTCGATACTATCAATATTTTTATCTTTTTATGATTATTTTTCATTTCATGCTCTTCTGAGCTTGGTCTTAAAACTACCTCAGGAATAGCTGCAAGTGTACCATGTGTCACAGATAACAATGACCTAGAAGAGGCATTGTTAACCAGGTAGGTATGTTAATGCTCTGTCATTGTGATGTCTGAAGTAGAACACTACAAGTAATTCCCAGAGGTTTCTAGCAGTATTTATAAATGAGGAAACGCTTGGAGGAATTAAATACCTAATTTTTGTTCATTTATTTTTTTACTTTTTTTTTTTGGTGCTAGAGATTAAACACAAGGCCTTATGCATACTACCACTGAACTACACCCCTAGTTCCCTAAACCCTAATTTTCCTTCCGGTGCTGAGGATTAGGCCTAGGATCTCACATACAATAGACAAGCACTCAACCACTGAGCTACATCCTCTGCCCAACACTTGATTTTTAAATGACAGAGATTGTGCTAAATAAAATGGATCTAAAAATTTTACTGAAGAGTATAATTTGTTATGGGATTCTGCTGAAATTATCTGAGCATTAACTGTTATATGAAACTTCAGTAGAAGATGCACTGAGTGGTTTGCCAGTGGGAATAGAGAATACTGAATCAAGACTTGTATTTACTTTACTTCAAATCCCAAAATTCATTCACTGAACTGAAGATGAAATCCAGACCAAAATCAATGCACTTTTCCCCTTATCGATGGTGTTATTTTCTGTAATTTCAGTTACCTGTGGTTGACTGCTGTACAAAAATATTAAGTGGAAAAGTTCCAGAAATAAACAATCCATAAGTGAAACTGCATAAGTGAAATTTCACCTCACTGTGCCAGGGTGCTAATCATTCCTTTGTCCAGTGTCCATGCTGCTAACCGGTAGTCACTTACTAGCTGTCTCAGTTGTCAGATCCACTGTGGCAGTATCTCAGAGTCCATGTTCAAGTAACTCTTACTTTTGTCAATAATGACTCCCAGGTGCAAGAGTCGTGATGGTGGAAATTTGGATGTGCCAAGAGAAGCTTGTTATAATAGGTATGTTTGTATAGGAAAAAAAACAGTATATGCAGAATTCAATACTCGGCATGGTTTCAGGTGTCCATTGGAGATCGTGGAATGTGTCCCCTATAAAGAGAAGACCAGTGCACACTCAATGGAGAAAACTAGTAACATTCCCTCTTAGATCAAAAGCAAAAAAAGGATAGCCACTATTATCTTTCTTATTTAATTCATTGTACTGGAGGTGCTCACCAATACAGTTAGACAAGCAACAACAACAACAACAAAATTTAGAAGTCAAAAATTGAAAAGCAGGATCCAAAATTATTATCCCAGAGGCTACAAGTATATACACAAGTTGCAACCAAAAACTGAGATACTATGAAAAGTATGTAGAAGCCAACGGCTTTCATAATATAGCAACTATTTCTTAATACAGCAATATTGTCAACTATATAGACAATAAAAGAATATGCCATTTATAGTGGAACTGTTATCGGAATCTCCTGGCTACACCAAAATGTTGTCAGTAGCTCCTTCTAAAAGTAACTGGACAATTAAACGTTACCGGGCTCTGGGTTGCTCACCTCTCCCTCTAGAGTTAGATTCCAGGTTCTTCTCATCTCAAGCAAAGAATTGAACAAAGCAAGCAAAAGGCATTGGCCAAGTTTATTTGAAAAAGGAAAAGTGAAGAGTGAGGGAGAAACTAGCTCTGCAGAGCGATCCTGGGTCGAGGAAAACAGGAAAAAGCAAGATAAAAGAACACCCCAGAGAAAGCAGGGTGGGGTATCATGAGGAAAGCCACACTGGCAAGCTCTTCTTGGAATCTGTGTCCTTTTATGCTGTTCAAATCGCCAGGAAACCACAAGAACGTCTACATTCTGGTCTTGAGAGGCAGAGCTGGGATCCCACACCTCGGACTGATCTCAGGTATAGCCCATCATATTGAAAACCTGCTGGAGTTCTCGCGAGAAGTCTACAGGCAGGGCTTTGGGAACTGTTCTGCGCATGTGTTCTGGGATCTTCTAATTAACAGGTCACGTCTACTTCCCCAGCCAGATTTGCCACGCCCTAATTTCCTATGTCAGAACAAAGTGAAAAAATACCTAAGATTATACTTACTATAATAATTTATTAACTGTGTAAGACAAACATGAATAAGCCTGAAAATTTGAAGATTATAAGTGGATGCATAAATGTATACAAAAATTTATCTTGTTCTTGGTTAGGAGAAAAAGACATCAAGCTCCCCTAAATAAATATATTAATTAAATCCTATCCATGAGATTCTCTATTTCTGTTTTTTGCAAAGCCAATAAAGTTGATTCTACATTTCGTTTGGAAAATTAAAAATGAAATATAAAAGAAGTGCTTTTTACAGTGGAAAAATAAGACTGAATCATTTGCAAAGATTAAAAGACTACTTTAAATTTAATGACACTAACACAGGACTATAGAGACAGTTCAATGGAACAGTGGAAAGTTCTGAATTAGATTCTTATGAGGTATTAGACTATAGAAAAAATTGCATCTTATAAGAAGAAGGAAAATAAACTAATAAGCTATTAACATGAAACTAAGTTTACACATGAAAGAAAAACAGTAGAAGCAAAGGCAAATGATAACCTGGATGAAATATTACAACTCACATCAATGATAAAGAGCTACTTTCCCTAATTTTGAAAAAAAAAATACAAGCTGATAAAAAGAGATTTTAAAAAACCCAATAGAAAAATGAACAAATGGTACCGCTACAGCTTGAATGTGTCACTCCAATATAAATGACCTCTGAATCTCTAAATGATCTCCTAGACTTAATCTCTGAATTTCATTTTAGCAACATCTGGAGTTAAGGCCTTTGTGAGATAAGTAGGATTAGATGAAGTCACAAGCATGACCCCATGAAGAGGAAAACAGACCTAAGCCTGCAGGCTTGCTGTTTTATGTTTTTTGGGTTTTTTGGCTTTTTTTCCAGTACCAGAGATCGAACTCAGGACCTTGCACACTTTCCAGGCAGGCACAGAGTTGCTGAGCTACATCCCCAGCCAGGCTTTGCTGTTTTGAGATGTATCTAAATAGATAGATAATTGGAAAGACAGACAGATGAGACATTTCTACCTATCCTACCTGTCTGTTAGAAATATACACTATCTTGCATGGCTGCAACTGTCTTGTATAAAAGATTTTCATTACAGTATTTTTCAAAGAACAAAGGAGTAGAAACTAAAGTTCAAAGGGGACAGGGAAAATATGTTGTGATGCATTGTATATTCACCAGTAATAATAACATTAAAAATGAGAAAATACTTTAAACAGCAACACAGAAAGAGCTCTAAGATGTATCAAGTGGGAAAAAAGTCAAGAACCAAAATAATAATAAATGTAGTAATTCATTATTGGCATAAAAGTTAGAAGAAAAATTACTGAATTGTCTTCCATGTGCATACAGTTTCTCAGGAAGTACAAATGTAACAAGTAACAGTGGTTACTGGCTATGGAGTAATGAGGCAGAGGTGCTTCTTACGATGTTTGATGTTTTCAACATATAAAGTACCCACCCCCAAATGAAATACTGCTTCAGAAAAAAGCGTTTAACCTCGGAAAATTAGCATTGAAGCATACGAAACTGGAGGTGTGTTAAATGTAACCACCCTGCTGGCTTTACATTTTTTGCAATGTGATAAATAACTGTGCATTTATAATTAAAAGGAAAAGGCCGGGGATTTAGCTCAGTGGTGCCACCACCTGCCTCGCAAGCACAAGGTCCTGAGTTTGATCCCCGGCACCAAAATAATAATAATAATAATAATCATTAAAAGGAAAAAAATAGACCTGGTGCTGAAAATGAAGGAAAATGTTCTATTTGGTATGTCATTAAAGAAAATGTTTTTGTTTAGTTGTTGCTGAATTAACTCCTTTTACGGACCTGCCAGCCACATGGGCTCAGCTCATTATCAGCAGCAATTCCTCAGTCGGGTGAGAGGTTCATGGGCATGGTGGACCGGGTCCAAAATCAAGCACATACAAAGAGTGAAGGTACATTTGAATTCAGGCATGTCTGACCACAAGAGCTGTGACCTTTCCCCTGTCCCACGCTCCTCTTTTGACTACCAACGCTGGAAAGTAATGTATCTCTCATTAAAGATCACTGGGGGACCCCACTAATCAGCAGAATATCAACTTAAAGAATTGTGAGGAAGGGGTAACTCACTTTCCGGTCCCCCTTCTGTCTCTCTTCAACAAGCTTTCCTTCCCGCAATAAATTTTTCCTATTCTTAACCTCTGTTGTTCCTAGATTTCATTCTTCAATTTTGGAGAACACGAACTCGCGTTTCAGATACCTAGCAGGTTTGGGAGTTAAATCTCTTCCCCCTGTATCACTCTTGCCACAGCCTCCACCTGCTGCAAGATTAGAGGCATGAGTGACCACACCTGGTTTAAATACTTTTGAAAGTGTTTTTGATGGTGATGGCCTTTGAAGAGTCTGTCAAAAAAAAATTCAACCTAAGAATGCTTTTCTTTTTTTCTCCCTTTAAATTTTTTTGTTTGTGTTGCAGTGCTAGTCACGGAACCAGGGCTTTCACACGGAGCTACATCCCTAGGCCTTTTTAGGGTCTTGCTAAACCACTAACTTCCCCAGGCTGGGCTGGAGCTTGAGATTCTTCTGACTCACCCTCCCACAGTGGCAGGATTACAGCTATGTGCTACCTGTGACAAAGCCATCTTTAAGGCCACTTCATTCTTTCGACCTGGCTAATTAACTGGACACAAAGGCTGGGCGGTGCCTCAGGGCCCACTGAGGACACCGATCCCTGGCCAAGCTGAATTTCTAACCTAGCCGGATTTCTATTCCCAGCATCCTCAGAGGCTCTTCCTTCTGGCTGCTCTTCCTCCAGGGCGGAGCTGCAGCTTCTCCGGGGCCAAGGCTGCAGGACCTTTTGGGGTGTGGACTTCCAGTGTGGGGTGAAGTGAGGTGAGAGTCTGCAACCCCAGTGACAACAGGAGGCCCCGCTGCTGCTCCTGGCCTCACTTGAGCACTGGGCTTCCTGCTCCTGACGAGAGATGGAGTCAGCTGAGCTAATACAGAAGAAATAAGGATGGTGGACAGCAGACAAGGAAATTGTAAGTTAAAAAATGGTATTTTGGGGGGTCGTTTTGAGACAGGGTCTCGCTATGTAGTCCAGGCTGACCTTGAACTCATGATGTAGTCCAGGTTGGCCTCGAACTCAAGGCAATCTTACTGCCTCAGCCTCCCCAGGGCTGAGATCACTGGCATGTGCCACCAGCTGAGCTCCACGGTTTTCTTTAAAGTACAATTTTTAACACCAGGCTAGGAGGGTCACCGCAAGTTTGAGGCCAGCCTGGGCTACATCGTGAGTTCAAGGCCTGTGTGAAGTATATATTGAACCTGTTCCATACCTGTGATGCCAGACTAACCTGATTTGAAGCCTGAAACACACACAAGTTCTTAGGGCATTAAAAAAGCAGTGTTATGTAGTAGGGCCAGGGAGGGTAGCTCAGATGTAGGGCCCTAGCCTAGCATCACAAGGCCTGGGTTAAGCCTCCAGCACCACCAGATAAATAGATCACTTTTTTTTTTTTTTTTGGTACCGGGGATAGAACTCGGGACCTTGTGCTTGTGAGGCAGGCAGTAGAACCACTGAGCTAAATCCCCAGCCCAATAGATCACTTTTTGAGTACACACTTGTGATCCTAGCACTGGGGAGGCTGAAGCAGGAGGATCACCAAGAGTTCAGGCCAGCCTGAACTACATAGAGAGACCCTATCCCAAAAAACAAAACAAAACAATTATAAAAAGGAAGACAGGGACTCCAGGACAGTTACTCAAGGTTATTCCTATCAGTATTCTCTAGGTTTGTTTATGCTTCCTTTTTTTCTAGGCCTATCACACCCCAAGTCCCCTAAAGATACTTAATTTCTAAACTAGTTTACTTGATAAAGGGCAGAAAACCCGAATTTAAGACAAAGGAACTGACTGAGAGTTCAAAGAAGGCTTTCAGGCAAAACATCTTAGATCCGTCATCTAAAAAAATAATGGGTGGGGCTGCACCTTTGGCCTGAAAATGGGACTAACAAATCTGCAAATTTCCCCCACCCAAGCATCAGTATTCCGAGCTCCAAAGTGCAGCCAGCTTCTCTCTTGAGGGCCAGCATTTTCTATCTTTCAGGGAATGCTTTTAAATTTCTGCCTAATAAACTTCTCTTTGCCTCTTTAAAAAAAAAAAAAAAAAAAGAATTGTGAGGAAATGAAGTGGTGTGGGTTTTTAAAGGATTTTCTCAGAGGTAAGCAGGAGACATTTGGATCTAAAGAATCTTCGCATTTCAAAAACAAAAATTTTATATAATTACCCTCTGCAGGTAACTGTAAAAGTCGGGAAAAGTCAAAAGGATGGCACGGTCTCTTTAAAGAGCTAACTCAGAAATCAGAAGAAAGATAAATTGGGTCAGTGTCAGTAGCCAAACGTGCCATTCCAGAGACTGTTGGAGACCAAAGGACAAGATCCAAGAGGACTAGTGTGGGACTACATAACCTTTGTTCCTTTTTCTCCAGCCCCATTGTGATTAAAATGTGAGTTAATGGATGGAGATGCTTGTTAGTCTAGGGACGCTAGATAGGGATCTGTAACAGACCTAGAGTCCCAGAGTAAACTACTCAACTCTTTGTTTATCCGGAACTGATATTCCAGGCACCACAATTGTTAGAACAAGCTGCAGATGCCTGCTGACCATCAATATGTGACCATCGGCCACTAACCTTTGTCCCCTTTTCTTTGATATGTTAACTTCCCCCTCAACCCCCTATAAAAACAGCCTCGGATTCTGAGCCAGTTGCCTCTCTAAGCTATTTTGCTTCGGGAGTGCCGTCTGGCCAGACTAATAAAGGTCTGTTTCCCAACTTGTCACGGTGTGTTCCTTCCCGGGTGTTTTTCGCTGTAGTCAGCTCCTCGGAGCGTTTGTTAAGGCCCTCGGTCTTACATTCTGAAGGCACCGCTGGGATTCCTGGGTGTGCTTCACTAGTCAGCTCCTCGGAGCGTTTGGTAAGGCCCTCGGTCTTACACTAGTTAGTTAAATCAGCCTACTCAAGTCAAAGAATTTATGACTAGAATAAATTACTCATGGCTGAGTCTGAGCTTTTGAAAACAGTTTGAAATTGTGAGATTATCGAGGTACTTCTCTTAGCAGGAGTAGACCGGGAAATAGTATATAAAATTATTTGATTTATATTCTGAACATCAATTCTCTTTTATAAGTATTTGAATTATAAATATATATTGTTTTAAAATATCGTCTATTTTGAACTTAAAAAAAATAATCTGTTAATTTAAAGGATACCATGAGTTCACAGCAGGCAGTCACTGTGACTGGTCGCATTTGTGCTTGTAGAAAAACTGTGAGGTCATTTTTGATTGCTATGTTCCTTTCCTGAAATTAGGAATTACAGCAATGATTATCTGAAGAATATCCCAGTGAAGGGATATAATCCTGGGATCCAGTCACATGTACTTTGTATTGCTCTAGAGTAAACTTGTTGCCACAACTGTATTACTGTTCCCTCCACAGGTCATTTTGCCAAACTTAAAGCACATTTTTAAGAGCACGTGAATCTACTTGTTTCCAATTTATTAAATGCTATGGACTGAAAAAGTGTTTGCATTCTACCGACAAAAATGGAAAGTTTCCTTAAGATTTAACTGTTAAGAACTTTAAGCCTACTGACTTCTTTTCCTTCCTAGCAAAATTCCACAAACTCTGTCTTCCATTTAATTCTGACCTAGGAAACTGTCACAGATGCATCCCAAAAAGGTGATTTGTGAGTGATTATTTCTTAATATTCCTTCCATTCTGGCTGAGGGTAAACAATGTCAACCTATCAACTCTCTCAAAATAACCATTCATTTTTTTTTTTTTTTTGTACCAGGGATCGAACTCGGGATGTTGCCATCCATTTTTTCATTAAGAACAAGGAGCCAGGACGAGCCATCAGTCAGACTAGCTTTATCCAGCATTATCCCATAATCATGATCTAAACTAGACAAGAGTTTGGGAACATAATCCCAGGTTTATAAAATATAATTATTTTGGTTTCGAGTAAAGATGTTCCAATGGCCAATCTGCTTAGCTGCTTTTAGCTTGTTTTTTTCATAGATCACTGCAGAAATTTACTGAGCTGCTCTTGAGATGTTCATACAGTAATCACCTCTTCATAGAGATGTTTTTTGTCTGCTAGAACAACCAAAACAGTTTTTCATCTTTTATATCAGAGTCAGAGAGAAATGTGACCTCAAAGAAGAAAACATGTAATTTTACATTTACATTCTCAGACTTCTGTTATTCTTGGATAATAACAAAAATTGACATTGTTTTAGTTGTCTGAACTAAGAGTAGATAAGCTTTGTTTAGTCTCACTTGTTTGCCTTTTAGGCACACACACACACACACACACACACACACACACACATGGACACACAAAACAAGACAGTGCTGGGTAGTTGGGGTTCGAAGTACTAAAAATGCTTTACATATATCTCAGATTGTAGGATCTGACCTTGATTCGGAGGATCCTATGGCCCTTGACTTAAAATGAAAGCCTTATAGCCGGGGATTTAGTTCAGTGTTTTCACTGCCTGCTGTGCAAGCACAAGGACCTGAGTTCAATCCCCGGTACCAAAACAAAAAAAAAAAATGAAAGCCTTATAAGGTAAAGGAAGTCTTTAATAAAGTTCATTGTGATGCCGGGTGTTGTGGCACACACCTATAATTTCAGTGCTCTGGGAGGCTGAGGCAGGAGGATTGCCAAGTTCAGGCCCAGCCTGAGCAACTTAGTGAATTAGCAAGATCTTGTCTCAAAAAAAAAAGAGTATTGTCCCCAAAAGGCTATGTATTCTGCTTTGAAATCATTTCGGATGTTTTGGTAGTACCAGAAGGTACATAGTCTGCCTCCACTATTTGTCCCAATAAACCTACAGGCCACAGAAATACAAATGAGAGAAGATACAGGGTTACAATATTCCACTTACTTTGGGATAATAATTTTGTGAAAATAATTGCCCAGCAAGAATGTACTTCTTTCTCCGGGTACCGTTTCCCTTTCTCTCATTTCAATGACCTACCATTTGTCCTGTTACAAGCACAATTTAAAAATGTCCTGGTCTACTTGATGTGTCAGTCTCAAATGATAAGGTTCTCCAGTTAAAGCCAAGAAGAGAGTATGTGGGAATGGGTACTGAGTAGAAGGCTAAGTGCTGCCGCTTCTGTGGCTACTCTGAGGGCAAGGTGGGGAGAGATCAGTTTGCCAGGCAAACAGAAATTAAGATAACTGCGCCTCAGGCAGCTCTGGAGTGAGAAAGATTAAGTCAAAAGCTCAGCCCAAGTTTAGTCCATGAGATCTGCTGGAATCGTGATCCACCTACTAGGAAGTGAGGGGCCGGGCTGACCATTACCAGGAACTCCTGACTCTTCCACTTAATGACTTTCGTTATGCACATTGCTTCTCTCCCCAGAAATTTAAGTAATAGAGAGTAACACCTTTCCTTCAAGCATTTGATGTTTAAGTGTTCAATATAGAAATTTAACAATGATCTGTGGATGCTGAATTTTAAGGAACTCTTGTACATCATGAAATATGCCTCAGCCTGAAATATGCGTGGCGTACTTCCCTTGACATGGCATCAGCACCTTGCTGTGCTGTGTATTGAAAAGGGCTTCTGAAGCCGACGATATTACATGTGACCTTAGACCAGTGAAATTAGATTTCTGCTGAATTAAAAATGTCTTTCAGAGCATTGTATCGTCTCCATTCATAGAAGGAGTTTTTGTTGGAAGTATGGAGTACATGTCTTTGATCTGTTGAGAAGTTTCTGTTCTACTTCTAGTCTCCTGATAGCTTTTACCATGAACAGCTGTAGAATTTAGTCCGATACTCTTTCTCCAACTAGTGACAGGATCATATGGCTTTCTCCTTTCCTCTGTTAAAATGATGACTTTTGGGGGTGGATCTTCCAATGCTGAACCAACACTGCCATCCCTATAACAAAACCACTTTCTACATCCTGCCAGATCTGACTTCTAAGAGTTTGTCTTGTTAAACAAATTTCTATCTA